AGGTCTTTACCAGGAGGGATGTAGAGCTTCCCGTGGTGATAGATGAGGTCGTCGCGCACTTCCCACTCGAGGAGTCCGTTCGCCAGTTTCCGAGGGCCCTTCTCCTTGAGGATGCGGAGAGCCTCGACGACTTCAGGGTCGAGTACCTGTGCGTCTCGAATCTCCTGCTCCAGGGTGCTCGTATCCATGAGGGTGGCTGACAGAGAGATGAACCGTTCGGGTTCCAGCACGATCTGATCTCGGTTGTCCTCGGTGTCCGTAGTCTGGTGGGTCGGGAGGCGAGAGAGGGGATCGGCTTGAGTGTTCGTCTTGCCAGGCTTGTGCGTGAGGCAGAAGTCGAAGCGGCTGAGGTATAGAGACCACCGAGCCTGTCGACGAGTGAGGTTCCGTGCGGTGCGCCAGTACTCAAGATTGCGGTGATCGGTGACGATCTTGAAGGGTTCGGGGAGTCCCTCCAGGTAGTGTCGCCAGTCTTCGAGAGCACGGATGATTGCCAGCATCTCTCGGTCGTAAATCTCGTAGTTCCGTTCCGCTTCGGCCATTGACTCTGATCGGTAGGCCACCGGATGCCAGAGGTCGTCGCCCAGCTTCTGCAGTAGGACTCCTCCGGTCGCGAAGCCGGAGGCGTCCACTTCGATCCGCGTGGGCTGAGCCGGATCTCAAGAGACCAGCACGGGCTCGCTCGTAAACGCGTCCTTGAGGGCTTGGAAGGCGAGTCGCTGCGCGGTTCCCCAAGTCCAGGGGACGTCCTTCTTGGTCAGGTCGTTGAGTGGTCTCGCGAGCTTAGAGAAGTCTCGGATGAATCGACGGTAGAAGTTGGCAAACCCTAGGAAGCCGCGCAGGTCGCGCAGGTTCTTGGGGGCTGGCCACGCTGTGACGGCTCTGACCTTGACTGGGTCCATGGCCACTTCGTCTTCACGGATGATCAGGCCGAGGTACTCTACCTCTGTCTTCTCGAACTTGCATTTCTCCGGTCGCAGGTAGAGGTCATGTTCCTGGAGTCATTTCAGCACCTCGTGGGTTACGGCACGGTGCTCTTCGAGTGTCATGCTGAAGATGAGGATGTCGTCCAGGTAGACCGTGACTTTCCCTGCAGCAATCAGATCGGCAAAGATCGAGTTCATCAGGGCTTGGAACGTGGTAGGGGAGTTGGTAAGGCCGAACAGCATAACCCGCGGTTCGAATAGGCCTCGATCGTGGACCGTAAACGCGGCTTTCCACTCGTCGCCCTCCTTGATGCGGACGTTGTGGTAGCCCCAGCGAACGTCAAACTTGGTGAAGTATTTGGCCTGGCGCAGGCGACTGATGATGTCGGACGCGAGGGGGAGAGGGTAGCGATTCTTCACCATGATCTCGTTGAGCTTGCGATAGTCCTGGACTAGACGGAGCTTGCCATCCTTCTTCTTCACGAAGAAGACCGGGGACGCCATCGGGGATTTGGAGGGGACGATGTAGCCTTTCTGAAGGTTTTCCTCGAGGAACCGATCGACTTCCTCCTGCTCGTTAGGCGACATCGGGTAGGCCTTGGAGCGTAGAGTTTCTGGGGCGTCGGGTTTGAGGTCGATGGCATGGCCGTACGGCTTGTGCTCCGGGAGGCGTTCCAATTCCGCCTCCGAGAACACCTTCGAGTACTGTCGATACTCCTCCGGGACGATTTCCTCGAACGTGCGTTTGGGCTTGTCCTGGTTGGCCTTCTGTGCGAGCTCAGTGGAGTAGGTGTACCCCGCGGCGCACCACAACTCCTCAGTCGTGTCCTCCAGAACCTTGGCCTTCCACCACTTCCTTCGCTGCACCCGGTTGGCGGCGATCCGCTCGATACCGGGTTTCCACTCCGCCTCGGCCTCTGTTTCCTCCGCACCAACCTCCATGGTGCCCTCCTGCCAGTCAATGTCCGGATTGACCCTGCGAAGCCAAGGTAAACCTAATACGACGTCTTCGGGGCCCAGGTCTGTAACTAAGAACTCGAGCCATTCCGTGTAGTCGCCCATAAGTACTTGTAATCTAACGTAATGGGATATGCTGCCTGCACTGTTCTTGGAGCCGTCGATGTTGTAGAGAGGGATATCTCTAGCTAGCCTATGTAAATAGACGTTGTTCTTCTTTACGAAACGGTGGCTGATGAAAAGGGCCGCTGCCCCACTGTCTATCATAGCTGCGGAACGTACACTACGGTTTCTGCCTTTAAGTATCACACTGACGCGGAAATGCGAGCTGG